CAAGCCAAGGACAGCACCCTTCTCTCTGCACCAACACTGCAGCAATTTCTGAGGTAAAAATCAGGGTGGCAGCAAGACCCACTTCTAGAGCCTGAGATTTAGAAATTACAAGAACATATTGAATGAGAAAAAGGGTCCAGAGACTGTCCACCAAACGTATCATTTTGCTTTAGTTTGGCATATAGTTCCACCACTGATGTCTGTTACTCTGACTCAGGCTAGACAGAATCTGCTCAGAGCTACCCAGTCTTTTGCAGGCAGCTGTTGTCACCTCTGATCATCATCTGTATTTAAGAATTTAGTGTGGCACAGTGATTAGAAGAGCAGGGTGTAGAGCCAGAATTCCCAGGTACACATCCTGGCTTAGCCACTTACAACTATCCTGTACCCTTGAACAAGTTACTTATCTATCTGTGGCTCAGTTTATTGACCTATAAAATGGTAACAAAAATACCTTCTACCTTGTAGGGTTGTTGCAAGGATTAACTCATGAAAAAGGATTCAATAGTGCCTGGAACATGGGAATAAAATGAGTTTGAATAAATATTTGCTGATTATTATTATTATTATTACCACCACCACCAGGGTCCATTCCTCTTAAGCAACTTATTATATTTGTCCATACTTTGGACATTTTTCATAAAGTTGCATATAGAATCCCTACAAAAGGCTATAGTCTCAAATGCAAACACACTTTAGATAGGTATTAAGTTTCCTTCAGGTCAAATCACGTAGTTTTTTACCATTCTCTATTATTTCTGTGCCAGTTTTTATTAGTTTGCTTTTTACCATCCAGCAGAAAAGGCAGGGTTCCTGACTTATTATTCTTTTTCTGTATTTTGCAACACTTGTAACTTCCTGAATACCTGGAAGGTTCCCAGTAATAACAGGCTGACTAAGTTATTGCTTTATTAATAATAAGCAAAATATCAGGAAACTGCTTGTCCATGTTACTGCATTCTCCTTCCTGAACACTTGAAAACAGTTCACTACTAGGTGACGAACCACCTTGTTGTTCTCTGCCTGTCCTTTTCTCAGCCAGTAAAACATCAGGATCATTAGGATTATCACCAGGTCAGCTTTTTATATCACCAATAGCCTTTTATACTCTGCTTTGCAAAGGCCTCAAATTCTCTCCTGTTATTGCTTCCTGAACCCCATTCCAGCAATTGCTCCATTTTGTAAAACCTTCAAACTCTCTAACTGGCTCCTTTCTCATTGCTGAAAATCTTCCTGGGTCTCCTTGTCTTATAAAATTATCTTTTTTTTTTTAGGTTTTTTATTGGGGAATTCAGGGAGGGAACAGCGTTGGGGAATCAGGGAAAGGGAACAGACAAGTTGCTGTACTTTTTTGTTCTTTAGACTAGTTGTGGAGGACATCGCTTCACTGGCCCATGTTGGTATTATCATTGTGCTTTTCCCGGCTGAGGCAGATCAGTCTCCGGCCATTGGACAGCCGCTCACAGTGGTTCACGACAGCTGACTGCAACTCATGCGGGCTGCCGGCCATTCACGGCAGCGCACTGCAGCCCACTGCAGCAGAGGCTGCAGCCTACACTGTCACTGGCGACTGGCGGCAGCCCAGCTCCAGGTCGAGCTGTTGTTCACCATCTTAGCTGTAGAGGGCCCAGCGTCACTGGCCCATGTGGGATCCAAACTGGCGGCCCTGCTGCTCAGAGCTCCCGCTCCCAAGCCAACTCTTAACCAACAAGCCACTTGGCCGGCCCTAAAATTATCTTCATGTGAGCTTCGTGCCTTCTCTAGCTACCCTATTTCCCTCTTTCCTTCAATATTTGGTATGTAGCTTAGGAAGTCCAGCCTACTTCCCCTCATCCCTAGGATCTGGCTTCTACTCCAATCATTCAGCAGAAACTGTTCTTCTGAGGGCCCTGAGGACCCCCTACTACACAAATCCAGTCACAGTTTCTTGGTCCCCATCTCGCAGCAACATCTGACAGCCTCAGCTGCTTGGCTTCTCCCCTTGGTTCCCAAGGCCTGGTACCAACTCAGTCCTCTTTTATAAACCTCCTCTAAGTGATTCTTTGCTAACTCTTTACAGAGCTCTTTGTTCCCTTCCACTAATATGTCCATTTTCCAAGGTCTGTCTTTGAATTTCTTTCTTTTCTTCTCTCTTTCCCTCTCAGAAATTTTAACAACTCCTGGAACTTCAATCTTGGCCTCCACGCTTATAATTTTCCATTTCCCCTCCCTAGTTCTGGTCTCCAATAGTCCTCCATGCAAATGATTTTCCTTCTCTTCTCCCAACTTCTGACCCCAAATTTCCAGCACCAAGTAAAAATGTACTAGTGGATTTCTCCACTGCGATTCAAAATCAATATATCAAGAACTGGACCCACCATTGCTCCTCCCGGTCTACTTCCTTTTCTGACCTACTTATCTCTGAAAATGCTCCTTCAGGGGCCTGGAACTTCCTGGTCATCTTTGGGCCTCATTTTTCCTCAACCCCAAATCAAACATCATGTCCTGCCAATTCTTTCTTCACAGCCTTTTTTTCTGATGATCATTTTTGAATAGGTAATCCATTTCTGAGGTTCACAAGTTAGACTGATACAAAAAGGTAAATGTTATGAGGTCTCACTTCCGATCCGGTTCCTTTTCACCGCACGTACCCTCTAGGTAACTTTTGTGTTTCTTTCTTGTGCATCCTTCAGTGTTTCTTCATGTGAATATACACGTAAACATATGCTCTCATTTCTCTCCCCTTTCTTATATAAAAAGAGGCCTATTATAAACCCCATCCAGCATTCTGCATTCCCTGTCACTTAAAGATGTATCCAGCAGATCTTTCCCTAGCAGTCTATATCTCCTTGTGCTCTTTTTAAAGCTGCATACATCTCAATTGTCTGATTAGTCCTCGAGTGATGGGTACACTTGGTTGTTTCCAATCCTTTACTATCAGAAACAATGCTGCAAAGAATAATCTTACCCATATGTTATTTTATGAGCGTGTATTTAGGAAAGTGTCCCAGAAGTTGGATTTCTGTGATAAATGTATCGGCTCATAATAGACTCTTAAATCCTTACCTGCTCACTCATGCCTCTGTCACTAACCTAGTTTTGTACCTAGATGACTGAGATAGCTTCCCTTCTAGCTATCATTGCTAGATTGACCTTTCCAAAAGCACACTTCGATTTATTCATCCCCCTGCTGGAGAATCTCCAACAGTCCTCCTTGTCTGCCAAACGAATTCCAAACTCTTCAGACTGTACTGAAAACCCACCATGGTTTGCCCAATGTAGCCTCCTTTCCAGTTTGTCTTACCGGTCCTAACCTCAGCTAGACAGGACGCTAACTGCTTTCTACACACACGTTGCACTTTCCTACCTCCATGCCTTGCCCAGGCCCTGTCCTTCATCAGAAATACCCACCCCTTCTTCTGCCTACCCCCGAATCTATCACTTCCCACCTCGGCCAGAAATGATTTCACTCAACTTCTCCAAAGCTCTGTATTTAAATCAATTACTTGGCATTTATTTGCCTTATGGTGCCTTCTATCGTGGTTGTCTATGTAGCTCACCTTCTACATGAGGTTGTCACTTCTCTGAAGGCAAAGACTGTGCCTTCTGTACCTTGTACTGGATTTCCCAAAGTGTTCTTCATGGAATGTCGCACATATAAGTCTCTCACTAATTACTCACTGGAAGACTGTTTATTGTGAAACGTCAGCCTTTTAGCTTGACTCCCCTCCCCCAGTGCTGGAAAAGTCTCATGGGGAAATTAAGCCAGCAAGTCTGACGGCTATAAAACACGCACATGTGCAGTAAGGCGTGAACACACATAGACACACACATCCTGTCTACACAGAAGGCTGGCTCACGAGTTCTGCCCATTTTAAAGTAGTTGCAGGATTAATGACAAAAAAACTAAGTGGAGCTCAGCAAGCCCTTCATCCCTCTTAAAGGTTTGCAATTTTTCAAAGCTTTAGTTGTTTCAGTCCATAGACCACGGACTTTTTAAAAAGTTAAAGCGAAGAGTAAGGACTATAACTAAAACAAGAGGCACTGGGCTATTCTCAAGCAAAGGTCATGATCATAATTTATTCTAGGCTTCAGAAAGTTGGGGTTCAATGCTGGGCGCTGTTATATTATGTAGGCACTTCATCTTATCAGGAAGTTGTTTTTTCCAACTAGAAAAAATGAACACACAAAAAAACCTTCCTTTATGGAAAAACTTTTCCCCCTCCAACCTACTACTCAAATGTGGTTCTCCATTCATGTGGCTGGAAGAACTGTGAATTAGGGAAAAAAGGATGATGTTCCCACCATCTTTTGTGATATGACCTGTTCACCTATCTTATAAACTCAGCTTAGAATCTAACTGGAAAAGTAAAACTCAAAGTCAGTTTGTGGCTATGCATGGAAGGGGTTCATTTTAGAAGATGAGGGCCAGCCTCCTTCCACAGACCAACGACAGTAATCTCTCCAGACAAAGGGAGGCAGCATCTGGTCTGCACCAGGTTCAGACAAATGTTCCCCTCAAATGCTTCTGGTATCTTCTCCTCCAGTTCAAGTTGCCATCACTTACGTCTGAATTTCAGCAAAAGTCTCCCTGTATCTGGGCTCTCTCAGGGCCCAAGGCATGTGCTTGCTGGTGCCAAACCAAGTGCCAATGTTTACCAATTGCCAACTCCATGGGTCTCTCTTTGGCCTTCGACCTCATTTGACCTCTCTCTGCCATCTGCAGCATTTGAAAGCATGCTGCATTTCTTTTTGAAACCCTCTCTCCCCCTGGCTTCCACGACACCGCCCCTCCTGACTTTTCCATTTCCTTTGCTGGCTCTCCTTCGGCCGCCCATTTCTAAGGCTGTGGTTCTTCAATCTTCTGTCCTCTGCCCTCTTTTCCTCTCTTTCTGCAGACTTTTTCTAATCAGGCTCATCCATTCCTATGGCCTCAACTTCCTATGTGCTAATCCCTGCCAAAATGACATCTTTCCTGAGCTCTGGACCCACTTCTCAGTCGCCTACTGAACATCTCATCGTGGAGGTTCCAAGGGTACAGGGTACCCCTCACATCGGCCTGATCCAGCCTGTCTGAAACCAAACTCAGTAGCTTCTTCCGCCTTCGCCCATCAGCCGGCTCTTCCTCTCAGGTTCTCTATTGCAGCTCATTGTCCAGATCATGCCCTTCAACTTCAGCTCTTCCATAAACGTCACCAGTTCCATATATGATTTCTTCTGTATTCCAGATATCATGGCCTGTGCACTCACTGATTACCATCTGGGTGGGACGATGATCTTCAGCCTCTACTTTTTCCACCAGTGCAACCCATTCTCTAGTTTTTGGTTTGTTTCTTTTCGTTTCATTGTACAACATAAGCTTGATTATGTCACCACCTCACCTAAAACCTTTCAAAACCTCCGCAAACTCCTTCATACCTGGGCCCACACTAACTTTTCAGTTCCATTACCAGGCATGACCTGTCTGTCCTAAGGTGTCTTCTGTTCTACCCTAACCTCTTGGGTCCAGAGAACACCTACAATGTTCTACGTAAGGAGTTTCATGTAGAATGCCCTCCTCTCACCTCCCACTCCTCAGACTAACAAATATGGAGGGCCAACTTTGTACCCTCTACCGCTCCCCTCAAAATCGAGGTAAACTTGTACTCATCCTTCAAAGACAGGACACTTATCACCGTGTCTCTGCAGCCTTTCCTCACGTCCTCCCCCCATGGCAGATGCCTCACTTGTGTCCTCCAGAACTTTGTCCCTGCTCTATTATGGTGCTATCATAAGAAGCCTGTGTGGTCCCAAGGGGCAGGGGCCACTAGCATTCATGTATGTAACCCCAGTGCCTAGCGCAGTGCCACCAGACTTATAACAGGGACTCAATTTTAAGTACTGAAGTGGCACATGGCTAAATTTGACTCTTGTCATGCAGACAGCAAGTTTATGAGATCAGCCTGGCTGAAATAGAGAGATTTCAAATGAGGGACAATGTAGCTCCACTAGAGGAAGACTTTGTTTTGCCGAGGGCCTTCCTAGTGTCCCTTAAATCTCACAGACAAGTGGCCACCTGCCCTGCCAATAAGCGAGGACGCCCTCCTCTCCTTAGCCATGTCAGCCTTCTCTCAGAACACAAAGATGTGTTCCTGAGGCCTGAAAGGGCCTCACTTTGACCTCACTGTGACACACAGCATCGCTGTCCCCAACGTCAACCACTCATGGTCTTGCCACATCAACGTCCGATGATTCTAGAGTTACATTAACAACATGAGCTCAAAAGAGCCCAAGGAGCCCTAAGGAGGAACATACTCGTATGTTCTGAGGTTACTAATTGAAAGGTGAATTCGATTTAACTTTTTCAAAAGTTCTGCTTCCTGATTATCTACAGCCCAGGTATATTAGTTCCTGCCCTCATGGGACTTACGCTTGGGCTTCAGTTTTAGCAAATGAATTTCTATGTTGTTCTTCAGTACCAGAGCACCTTCCAGAAGCACCGCTTCTCTAGGTTAAGGGCTCTCCCTCTCCCTCAGCCAGAACCTGCCAGGAACTTGAGTTCTGTCCTTAGAATTCAAGTCCTGTTCCTGGGTCTGCCTGCCTGCTGGCGAGTGTACATATCTGCCTGTCCTCTCCAGATGACCTGTGGCTGGAAACTCTGATATATTATCCTTTGCCTACTGTGCCTCAGTGCCCTCATTTATAAACTACAGGTAGTACCAGCATCTCCCTCTAAGGGATATTATGAGGACTAAATGAAAATAGCTTGTCATATGCTAAGCACTCAATAAATTAACTATCATCATCGTTATCACCTTTATTTCTAAGAAACCTGCCACACTGCACCTCCTCCTTGGACTTGCCCTCTTCTTGACGAGGTGGGAGTTGGGGACAGGAAGTACCCCACCCCAGTCATCCCCACCCCCACTGTGGTTCTGGTGTGAGCTCAGTTCAGCCCTCACAGGCTGGCCCACCCAGACCCAGCTGGGGAGACCAAGTACCTCTGAGTGTCAGGTAGCCATAAGCCAGACTGACCAAAGCCTGTGCACACTTCCAGTGTTCTTCCCCAAAAGTAATCCGAGAAAGGATGGCACAGCGAATCAGCTCCTTGCTTGCTTGGGTATTCTGCAGAGAGCAAATGAGTCATTATGCTTTCTGGAAAGGAGGAAAAGCTCCAGCCCATGATCTGATCACTGGGATGGAGGACTGAATTCATCTGTCATCTTGGTCTCTTCTCTTTCCTTCTCATCCCATGTCAATCCATCAAGCCCTGTGGCCTCCATCTTATTTCTAAATCCTAAAACTGAGCTCTTCTCCTCATTGCTGCCATGAGTACCTAGTTCAAGCCACCCTCATCTTTTATCCAGCTGACCACAACAGCCTCTCCTACCTGTTTCCACTCTCGCCTCCCACAGTCTACTTTCTACATCATAGCCAGAGTGACTTCTTTTAATCATTTATTATGAAACTTTAACAATACACAAGAATAGCATGGAGAATGACTCACGTGGCTTCATCAGGTATCTGCTCATAGTCAAACTTGTTTCAGACCTATGTTTGTCATCTACCCACCCTCTCCCTCAATTATTTTGAAGCAAAGATACAAAATCATTTCATATTTCATAAGTATCTCCAAAAAATATACTTAGAACTATAACCACAAAATCATTATCTCACTGAAGTATTAGTAATTCCTTAATAGCAAATATCTAGTCTCATAAACCTAATTACCTTTTAAATCTAACATTTCTTTTACCATTTGTCTATACATTGAGATCAACCTCCTGAGTCTTTTTGATCTGTAGGTTCCACCTCCATCTCTAATTCTTTTTCTTGCAAATTATTTATTAATGAAATTGGGTCATCTGGTTTATAGTGCTTCCCAAATATGTAAATTTTGTTGACTGCAGCCATATGATGTCACGCAGCATGTCCCTTCATTCTCTGCTCTGCCTTTATATTAGTAGTTAGATTTAGGAGTTTGGTTAGCTTTCGCTGTTTTTTTATGCAAAACTACTACACAGGTTCTCACAAGTTCTTGTATCAGAAGATATCTAATATCTAGTTGTCTCTTTTTCTGACTATTGACACAACTACATGGATTAATTCATAAAGTTTGTAAAAATGCAGATATCCCAATTCTGTCATTCTTTCTTCATATATTAGCTGGAATAATTCTATAAAGAGAAATCTTCCCTCATCTCCTCTTTGGTAACCCAATAGTACACTTCATATCAGAAAGAGAGGATACATGACTTATTCTTTCCCTTTATTTATCAGCTTTCAAAATAATGAGTTTGTTCACTACTATCCTCCAATACTGACCAAATAGTTTATTATTATTGTTATTATTATTATAAACTTATGTATTTTTAAACATATTTGATGTTCCTGAACATGGTAAACTAATTTCTAACTCAGGGCTTTGCACCTCCTTTTCCCCCCACTTGGGACACTCTTATGTGTCATTCACTCTCTCATTTTATTTTCATTTTGCTCACCTCAAAGTGGCCTTTGTCAGCCACCTCATCTAAAATAGCCTGTTGCCCCATCATTTACTATCCCCTTACCTATTTTATTTTTTTTCTTCATGGCACTGACCTCTCTCTAATATTGTATTAACTATTATTTTCTGTTTGTCTATTATCTGTCTCCCTAAATAAAAGACAAGTTCCTTGAGGACAGAAGTTTATTCCCCATGTTCATGACTGTATGCCCAGTGCACAGAGGAGATACTCATTCAATATTTGCTGAATAAATCATCTATTTTAGCAAAGATAAGGATGGGGTGTGGAAAGAGCCCCCTCACCCCTATAGAACTGATAGGCAGAGCTGTCTAAGAAACCACAGAATTCCATCTTCAAGTCACAGGTTGCAGTGACTTTGCAAACATAGTCATTTACAAACTGCACTAATTGACAGAGTCAGGCATTTATTTCCAGGTGAAAACAGCACTCCAAAGAACCAAAGCCCGGAGTTACAGCCCTGGCTGGAATGTTTACTAATTGTGTTGCTTTGTGTAAGATCACCCGGAGTCCCAGCTACTTCTTGCATTTGGAAACCTATACCATCTCATATGAGAAAACTGAGTCAGCATCAAAGTGATCCAAACCTGTTAAGTGTTATCGAAATATAACCCATTTACAGGTTAACATACAGGTCAAGTACTCCACGGACTGCTGCGTCCTGATCCGTTTCCTCCTTACCCTGATGCTTCGCCTGCTCCCAGCTCAAACACACAGATGCAAACCATGAGAGGGCATTCCCACTCACGCTGTAAAAACATCCAGTCAGTCGGAGTTTTTGAGAGTTCTCCATGGGCTGACTACCATAAATACTAAGTTCTATTTTGAGGAAGAAGCATAATAAAAAACACTGGAACGGGAGTCCAAAGCTTCGAGTTCTGTCCTGCCTCTGGATGCATTCATCCCCCACTTCCTGCCCTGGGGAAACAGAGGTAACCAATATGGGCTCTAGAGGTCAAACCAGCACTACTGCTGCTGCTGGCAACCCTCCTACCCCTCAGGGCTGTGAGTATGGGGCTGGGCTAGATTCAACTCCTACATTTAAATCTGTCATTATCCAAATTAGCCAAGGAGTTGTCAGGCCTTATTAAAAGCCTCCATAGCAAATGGTACTTGTCTTTCTACAAGTGATCACTCTAGTCTGCATTTATGAAATACTAAGGGGTCCAGGCCAGGATGAATGGCCTGCGCAAGTTCTCTGAGTGATGCACAGAGGTGAATTTACAGTTACATCCATGGAGGGAGGTTTCAGCTTCTACCATCTGCCCTTGAAGTGCCTCTCAGCGTTTCCTAAGCCATTTGCAGACCGTTTTTTCACAGGTGTGCTTCAAGATCATTTTCCCCCTTGGCCAGCAATGGCCAGGAAGTCCTCTGTTGATAAGTCATGCTGTGGGAGCAGGCCAGCACCTGCATTCTATCAATGAAGGTCATTGTCGTGCCGTCTCAGGCTCCTGGATTTTGAACACTCTTGCTAAACACTTGCTCTGAGGTCCTAGCTCCCAAATCTTTGTCTCATTCTTAAAATTGAATACCTGGACTCACTGACCTCTGCGGTTACCTCCCATGTCTGGAACTGTGGTTTGCTTATGATTCCGCTGGGACCACAGGCATCTTACCCGGATCCTGGCCAGGCCTGAGCCTAGACTGCCTACCTGCCCTTGCTCTCAGCTTCCTGCCGCACTATCCAGCCTTCTTGTTACCCACGAGATAGCATCCTGAAGCCTTTCAGGATAAATCAAAACAAGGTTTTTAGTTAAAGATAATCAAATAGCAACAGGAAGAGCCAAACACTGACTTTTAATTTAAAGTTAGGAACATAAATCTCTCCCAGGAGGAAGGCACAGTGACCCATGTGTGGAACCCAAAGGTAGGCTGGTACCCAGCTGTGCTCTGCTTTGTTTTCTCCCACTTATAGAGAAATGCAGCACCTTCCTCTATTTTATGTGCTTTAATCTGCAGTTTAGGCAGAACTTCTCTAATCATGGACATATTTTTTAAATGAAAACTAAAACCTAGTGAGATTTTTGTTTTACCATTTTTTCCTTAATCAGCTGAGCTGTTTTCCTCTGCGACTGGACTAATTTCTCTCTGGGAAGGTACATGCAGTCTGTGGTCCTCTTGGCGTTAGTGCCGTCTTCACTCTCTTCAGATTCTCTAGTGGGATACAAGTCATCTGTTTGCTGGTGTGCTGGGATCTTGGTCTGCTGTGACCTGCGGGACCAGAGAGGGACCAGAGAGGGACATGGAGTCAGATTTGACCTTTGAGTATCTCAAACAAGGTAGAACTGAAGAACATAGCCAGCACCCCCTCCCAACTGGGGGCTAGGGATATGATTTCCAAAATAATAAAGCTAGGTGGTAAATTCATGTCACCCACAAAGCCCAGCATTAGGATGGCAAGGTGGTAATTCAAATTAAACAGATTTGGTGAATCATCCACCTGTGTCAGAGTCACAGCTCCGCTGCCTACTAACCATATGGCTGTAAACGACTTATTACTTAATTTGCTGTCTATAAATGAGGTCAACATGAATACCTACCTGATGAGGTTATAGGATTAAATCAGATAATACTCATAAATAACTCAGCATATATCTGCTATTTAGTAAGTGCCCTTTTCACATTAGCTATTATTATTTTATTAGCTCCATGACTTGAGGGTATTGAACTGGAAGATCTCACAGTCTTCATGTTCTAAAGTTCTGATCCAAACCAGGAAAGAAAATGGATATAATGAACTAAAGTAAAGGGAACTAACGTTTTGAGGCTAGACTTCACATGTCCTCTTTCATGTTTCTTAAAATCTTCAATATGTAGTGGCCAACTAACTAAAGAGGATAAGGATACTGTCCCACCAAGGAGAGACGAGGGAACGCACACTTGAGTCAAGTGCAGATTCAGAAGAGAAATGGCCTATTCAATTGTATTAGAAATAAATGCATTGAGAAAGAGCTGAGTGGGTTGGAAATATTCCCCTCTCCCCATGTACTTCTCTCTCTCTCGCTCTCTCTCTCTCTCTCTCTCTCTCCCTCATACACACACACACACACACACACACACACACACACACACACACACACACGTAGACCGCTGACTTCAATCCCAAGCATAATTATGAATAGGTAATTGAAATGGTAAAGATAAAAGTCAAAAGAGTTAATGTTATAAAATAAGAGATAACCATAGCCTAACATTGCCAAAAAAATCAATGAAGTGATCCAGAAGAAACAGAATTCTGAGATGTTAAAAGCAACAACAGAGATTTTAATTAATTATAATTAAGTCCCCCAAAGGAATCACCTTTGTATTCACAATAGCTTTTAAAAATTCAACCATTGCAGTTTTTGTTTTTTAATTGGGGAACAGTGTGTTTTTCCAGGACCCATCAGCTCCAAGTCAAGCAGTTGGGTTTTTTTTCCAATCTAGTTTGGAGGGCATGAGGATCGAAACGGCAACCTTGGTGTTATGAGTGCTGCACTCTAAGCAACTGAGCTAACCGGCCAGCCCAACTCCAAGTCCAGTAGTTGTTTCATTCTAGTTGTGGAGGGCGCGTCTCAGTGGCCCATGTGGGGATCGACCTGGCAACCTTGGTGTTATGAGCACGGCGCTCTAACCAGCTGAGCTAACCAGCCACCCCCAACCACTGCAGTTTTAAAAATAAAATTTATCTTCATTTTCCACTGATTAGGTAAGTAATGACTGTTCACTGTAAAAAAGAAAGAAAATTCAGAAAGAAAAATAAATGTCAAGTGTAATATTTTACACCAGGTTTGAAAAATGACATGGTAATATCCATCCAGTCCTGTTCTAATTAACGTATCTAGGGGCAGTCTGGCAAACCAGGTTCGCCTTAATTGGGGGGTCCCAGTGTTTCAGGCCAGTGAGTGAGTGTGATGTCAAGGTTCTGCGGTACTTACAGATGGAAGCAGAAGTCCCAGTCAATATCATTGCTGGCAGTTGGGATTCGGATGGGACTAGCTCGCATCTTCTTCCTACCGAGAATCACGAGTGAGGTCGGCTTTGAAGGAAAAGGCTTAGAAGTCTGTTCTATTTTCCCTCTGTTGGATGCTATTAACATTAAACTGAAACTGCCCAAATAGATAACCCATCCTAAATTCACAGGCTATGCACACTCATATATGGAGACCCCTGGAAAGCAGAAATTAAAGTCATTTGTCAAATTAAATCTCTGAATTACATCTCTTTCCCCTGATTCCTACTCCACATTACTTCCAACTCCCCCCCCACTCCATCTTTTTTACCCCTTTAAAGCCAGCACATTTACAGCTCCTGAATCAGCAAAACTATGGTCTCCTACTCAAGTCAGATATTGTTTTTGCAAATATGAGAGCAAGATAGGCCCAAGCAAAGCAGCCAGCTCTTGGTCCTAAAGTATGCCAGTGTATTAGTTACCTCTCCTTGTCCGTAGGGCCATCCCAGTATTTAATAGGAGGTCCTGATTAAGGAGCTAAAGCACATGTGTCTGTTTGGGTTGCCACCGTTACCTGATGGGGGAAATGGTGGATACTCATGACAAAAAAAATTATTTAAAATTATTTTTGAAACTCAACTCTCATGGCTATCCCAAGCCCTTAGATCAAATTCACGTCGAATGCAGTTATTTATTGAACATTAACACCCACCAAGTCGCTCCTCATTTCACGGGGCAGAATGTCACTCATTCCCAACCTGAGCCTTGAGTAGCTCTATCTGACTCAGGCTCCAGAACATCCACAATCCAAAAACCAGAAGGGAAGAGTCACTGATTTCTCTTGCTAATCTCTACTTTCCAAACTATGGCCAGGGCGAGGGGTTTTGACTTCTCAAACTCCCAAATTCTGTTACTATTTACTATGAGGTGCCACATGGCCCTGAATTATAACACTAAACTTTGGCCCTTCTCTCAAAGGCAAATCGCTTCCTTCTTTCCCACAGTTGTTTCGCTGTTATCTTCGAAAACCTTCCCGAAACATCCCCAGCATCGTCCGAGCTTCCCCATGCTTCTATCTTGTGGGCACCGCCGCACAGAATCCAGGAGGAAGACGGGGCAAGGGGGCTGCAAGGCAAGCGTCGGGCGGCGTACCTGGCGGAGGGCAGAGGAAGCCACGCCCCGAAACTAGCCTCTCCGTCTCGCTCAGCCGGGCAGCTCGGCTTCCTCGGGCGGCGGCAGCGTCCAGGCCTGGGCAGACCTCGTTCAGGGCGCCTCAAGGGTGTCTTGCGGAAGCGAGACGCTCCGGCTAGGTCAGCCTTTAGCGCGGGCTGCCGGGGTTCCGGCTTGGGAGACAATGGGGTTGCCATGGGAACGGAACGCTGCGGCTAGAACGGGAGCGTCGGCGCCTGTAGCCATGGCGACGCGGAGCGTGTAGGACCCCGTGGAATCCCGGGCCGCTCTGGCCAGCCGCAGCTCGTTGGCTTGCCGGTCCCCGCGGACCTCAGGCTCGGCCCCACACGTCCTTCTGCTGCGGTCAAGTTGTCCACTATTCTTTTTTCCAAAGGGACTTTACCTCTCGGAGATGAAGACGCGGGAAGAGGAGATAAATCCCATCTAAGGATAGAAAGGAGCACCGGGCTCCACGACCCTACCTATTGCGATGTACCAGACTGTAGTGGGCGACACCCAGAGCAGTCCACGCGCCCCTCCGCGCACCTTGCACCTCTTAAGTTCCCCGGGTATTCTGGCTGTGTGGACCCGGGAACAAAGGCTCCGATGTAACTTGACGGTGCTGGCACCATCTGTGTTGCCTTTCTTGGTAAGATTTGAGCTACGCATAATTAGGAAAGCGGAGTGCAAGAAGTGAGTAGCTTAAGAAATGGACCACAGATGGTCGGCTGAGTGGCTCAGTTGGTTAAGAGCTGGCTCAAGAGTTTGAGCTCGGAGCAACAGCGGTTAGAATCCCACTGGAGCTGAGCAGCGGCTGAGCTGCCAACAGGTGGCAGGATGGCTCAGCTTAAAATTAAAAAAAAGAAAGAAATGGACCACTAGTTCTGCTAATGGTCAGCGGTTCGGGAAATATTTTCGAGTGGAGACGTCACATTTTGAAAAAACCACATAGCCATAAGCTATGCAGCCATGTATTCTTATACCACCCCTCTTCAGTGGCCTTAAACATACACAGTGGTAACAATAACTCAGGTCTGACAGGTGCAGGGGCAATTGTGGACTATACCCAAACGAATGGCACTGACTCCAGCAGCATAGCGTTTAAGTTTAAGGGTGTTCTTAGAAACGCTACAATGAATTAAGGGCCTATGACAAGTCAAGCTGGAGCTGGTATGTCCCTCTCATTTTCAAAAAAGAGCAGGCTCAGTTGAGAGACAAGGAAAATATTTACGAGGAACTTGAAAAGTGGTGTTTACATTTGGTGTTTGTTCTTTCCAACTCTAAGGTTGAAGTTCAATTGCTGTTTGATACAAGACGTCAAAATATCTAGCCTTTCTGGAGTTAGATTGGAGGAGCTATTTCAGTGAGTGGTTTATATATATCTTAAGTAAAACCCGGTTGGCCTATTAGTTTAAGGCTTGACTCTGTACCCTCAAGCTCCTGAGCCAAAATTTTAGAAAGATCCCATGCTCTTTTTTCTCTGTGTCCAAAGAGAATTCTCAGCATGGAACAATAATGATAGCAATGAACTTCAAGATGTCAGTGTTCTGATTTTGGCTCTGTGTGGCCTGAGGCAAATCCCAGCCCATTGGACCCCAGTTTTCTTGCCTGTACAGTGAGAATATTTGCACCACTTGCTTTCTAAAAGTCTTCCCAAGTCCAGGATTCTGTAAGGGTAAACTGCAGGCTTTTGTGACTCTCTGAACAGTAATGTGATGATAAAAAAAACAACAACAAAAAAGGTAAGCATTGCATCCTGTTCTCTAACATCTATTTCCCTAACCCCTTGTTAAACTGATCTTCATTAAATTGAAAAGTTTTAATGTTCTGTCATTCTAGGAAATGACCATGAGGCTGTTTCTAAGTGTATTAAATGTAACTTCTCTTTGCTGAACACTTGCGTGTGCCCATATTGTGAAGGGAAGCGAGGCATGAGGATGGACACTGAATTCCCATTCCTAAAGCTAACGTTTCAGTTCGACCTCCATTTAATTAGCTCTGATCAAAAGCATGTTGCCTTCATCTGTCAAGTTAGAAATCAAATGGAAAGAACTTGACTCTTAGAGTGTCAAACCTCTGTGATATTCTTTCCTTGCCATCTTAACCCTGTCCCCAAATGTAAACCTTAGTTACAGTAAATGTACTTTTTAGGCTTGTTCACTAACTCTGGGAAGGAATGCTAGTAATGGGGGGGGGGGCAGTGCTTTTACAGCGTGTTCACTCACATTCCCTCCCTTGATCCTGAGGTAGAAGAGGCAAGCATTGCTATTGTGGAAATCAGAGGAAACGTGTGGAGGATACTCCTAGACTCTTCCAACTCCAAATCAAATGTGATTATTCCAGATTATTCCAATCCCAGGAATTTAAGAAAATCCAAATAAACTTTCTCTTGGAACACATTTCTTTTAGAACACATTTTCTGACCTCTCAAGGCTGGGTTACTGTTGGGTTGTGCAACCTCCTTGTGTACTTCCTGGGTGTAATCTGAAACCGGTCCCCGTACTGAGAGGGCAGGAAGAGAACCAAAGAAAAAGGCAGACCACTCCAGACTGGTAGGTAGCAGGTTTAATAAGGGAATTTACAAGGCTTGTCTTGGGCAGCCACAAGATGAGTAGATTTCTGCACCCACCTACCAAATCCTAAAAGTTTATATAGAGGACTTACCTGGGTTCAGACACATACACAGGAGGCCTTAACAGGGTTTAGTCACGTACCCAGTTTAGATAATTTTATCACATTTGTATCTCAAGGCTGGATCCTTGGAGCAGCTTCTGGGAGGGGGGGAAGACAAGCTGAGTGCACATTCCAAAGCACAGAGGACAGGGTGAGGAGCCTCCAATTACACAGGTCCTGCTCCAGGGGTACTGGTGGGCACATCTTGATGACCTGCCCCTTATTTTTGAGCTCCCACAATGTCCTCTTCACAATCTCATGAACTATATTGGCACTCTGCTTACGTGTGATTTTCTCACGCTCCATGCATCTGTCCATCCACCCAGAAATACCTATTGAATACCTGCTGTAGGCCAGATACTGTTCTAAGCATTAAGGAAGCAATAGTGAACAAACGAACCAAGATTTTGCTCTCCTGGAGCTTTTATTCTACTAAGTGAAAAACATAGGGCTGTTTGTTACAGAACAACATGACATCTCTGCAAGTTAGACAAAGGCACATGGCTTAGAGAACAGGCAGAAACTTGTGTAAATTAGGAAAAAACCACTTCCTCCAGGCAGACTCAGGCTTCTGCTTTGGGAACAGAGAGTAGATTGGCTTTCAGGACGCCCTTCCTCCCTCACTCAGCTGGGTGAGCCACCTTACATGTAAGTGACAAATCATATGGAGAAAAATGAAGCCAGGTAAGGGATATAGAAAGTTATGGGTATGCAGGGGGAGGGGTGTGCTAGCATATATGGTGTAGTAAAGGACGGCTTCTCTGACAAAGTGGCATTGAACAGAGACCTCAAGGAAATAAGGGAGCAAATCATGCGGATATCTAGAAGAGCATTGTTAACAGCAAGTGCAAACAAAGGCCCTGAGGCAGGAGCAAGTTTCATGGGTTCAAGGAACAAAGGAAGGGCAGTTAAAAATGAGGAGAGACACAGAATGGGTCAGCAAAGAGCAGGGCATACAGGGCCTTATAGGCAATCCATCCATCTAAATAGCCACCCACCCACCCAGTGAATCCTGAATCCCTCTTAGGTAGCAGGCCCTGTTTGATCCGCTGTGAGCTCCTTGTGAGCTGGAGCTGTTGGGTTCACCATTAAGCCTTTAGCATTCAGCACAGTGCCCAGCTTATTAGAGTTCAATGATAGTTAATAAACTGCAGGTCATCTTTGGGAAATCTCCATTAGTACAGATTCTGGCCTCTTAATTTTCTTTTGCCATATAACATAAAACATTCACAGATTTTGGGAATTAGGACATGGACTTCTTTGGGGGTGGAGGTGGGGTGACGGGAAGGGGTTATCCTGCCTACCAGAGTGTTTAACTTGACTTAAATGCATAGGTTTAAAAGCATCTGGAGGTGACACCTAAGGAGCCTTTACTACTTATCTGGTCTCCTGACTGTTAAAATCTTACACTATTTGGCTGTATTCTCCTTTCTCTTCCCTATACATCCTCCATTTTATAATCAAGTACATTCAGTCACAGTTCTTGAATACACTGTTTCTTCCCCATTTTAGGGCTTGATTTATAATGAATATGCAGAAATGCCTCTTTTCTTCTGTTTCACTCACCTCCATTTCTTGGGGGTTTGCTCCTCGGAGAAGCCTTTCCATCTGCTGGAACCCACATTGATTGCTCCTTCAACCAGCTCGTATGGCCCACTTATGGCGGCCATCATAGTTGAGCTCGTCCCTTGTCACAAATATGCCACACACTCCCACAATGCTCGACACTTCTCTGCCCTGAGCTGGTGAACCGAAATTGCTGCTTTGCGAATGCCTGGGTCTGTTGCTTTTTCCAGCTCACTCTTTGTCCTGCAGTTTGCCTGTTAACTTTGCTCAAAAAGCATCACCCCCATCTTTGCTGGCCAGTTTCTGCTGCTGTCAGCACCTAACATTCCACAGTTGTGCCACATTGCAAAACGTTGTGCTTCAACATGTTCTGGGAGCATTTTCCCCACACAGCATATCATGTGTTTATGTTAAGATGGGTGGGTTTAATTATTTAAAAGCTTTGGAGTCTGTGTTAGGTTTATGTAAGGAAAACAAATTGATGACTCTTAACCAATGTGAAGAAAAAGGCCATTCTTTCTCACTCACTGTGATGACGTATCTACTATTCTACTCCTTTTTATTTCTCTGCATTTTCGAATCAGATGATGGAAACTAGTGTGGAAATGGGCAGTTTGAAAATTATCCAAACAATCCTCATATATGCATAAAGACATTTATAGATAGAATAGTCATTGCATCATTGTTAGGGCTGGAAAATACTGGAAAACCGATGAAAAGCCCACTGATGAGGAACTAGTTAAATAAAATATAGCACAATCGTACTATGAAATATGCAACACTTAAAGAGAATGAGATGTGTGTGCGGACAGAGGGCAATCTCTAAGATATTTTAAATGGAAAAGTATGGTCTAGAAGAGTATATAAAGTATGCTTCCATATTTAAAGTGGGAAGTAAAGTACATGCCCACATGTACATAGAGGCATAGGCTATCTCAGGTCACCCAAGAAATTTAATAGCTGTTGACTATGGGCAGATAAACTAAGGGT